AAAACTTGGAAGCAATCATGATGTCCTTCAATAGATGAGTGGATAAATTCTGGTACATTCATAGAATGGCATGTTATTCATCAATAAAAAGAAATAAGCTCCCAAACCACAAAACGACATGGACAAGCCTTAAATATATATTGCTAAGTGAAAATAGCCAATGTGAAAAGGCTGTGTGATTCCAACTATATGACATTTTGGGAAAAGCAAAAACTTCCCTCTTTCCAGGCAGTAAAACGATCAGTGGTTGCCATTATTTCTGGAGGGAGGGAGGGAAGGATGAATAGGCAAATCACAAGGGATTGTAGGACAGTGAAACTATTTTCTCTGACACTATAACAGTGGATACATGTCATTATACATTTGTCAAAACTCATAGAATATACAACACAAAGAATGAACCCTAATGTAAGTTATGGAATTTAGCTAATAATAATGTATCAATAATGGCTCATAATTATAAAAAATATACCATTTTGATCTAAATATCTAAATATTTTTAAATATATTTTAAAATAATATCTAAAATATTTTTACCTAAATGTCTAAAGCAACATATTAATCATAGGGGAAATTGGTGGGCAGAGGGGAGTGGGGAGAGGGGTCATATAGGAACTCTCTGTACTTTCCATTCTTTTTTTTTTTGAGATGGAGTCTCTCTGTCACCCAGGCTGGAGTGCAGTGATCTCAGCTCACTGTAACCTCCGCCTCCCAGGTTCAAGCGATTCTCCTGTCTCAGTCTCCCGAGTAGCTGGGACTACAGGCGCGTGCCACCACGCCCGGCTTTTTGTATTTTTAGTAGAGACGGGGTTTCTCGATGTTGGCCAGGCTGGTCTCGAACTCCTGACCTCAAGTGATCCGCCTGCCTCAGCCTCTCAAAGTGCTGAAATTACAGACGTGAGCCACCATGCTTGGCCACCATTCATTTTTTCTGTAAACCTTAAACTGCTCTAAAATATGAAGTCTATTATTTTAAAATAAATAAATAGCAATATATGCACATTATATAGAAATATGGACATAGTATGAGGGGAAATAGCTAGAACTGCATTTGTTGACATGGAAGGAAGAATACGGTATGTGGAATGATAGGATGGAGGCTGATTTTTTTATTAAGTGCCTTTAATACTATATTAATTACTTAATATAAAGTAATATTTAATTACCCTTATAAATCATATTGGTTTTTAAAGAACAAACATAAAATAATAGAATAGCCATCATTTATCATTTCTCAGTAAATTCCATTGCAGTTTGTTTAAATAGTCTACTTGGATTAAACAATCTGCGCTAGCATCTCCACATTTACAATTAATGATGTTTATTCCCATAGATATCTAAGGAGTATATAAAATCTCTCAGAAACCGTAATATGCAGCAAAGAAACATGGAAGGGATGGATGGTTGGCATTCAGTGGAATCTTCCCTTAATATAGGCACATCTTCAGTCCTTGAATGGTCAGGGACTACATAAAACAGTTCAGGATACGCGTGGACTCCGAACAAAGTTCACATGTAAGAAAGCCACAGACAAATCTCACTTATACATATTGATGTAAAATAAATAAAATATTAACAAATAGAATTCAGCAGTAAATTGAAGAAGTAAAAACTGTGGGGTCCATTCTAAGAGTGCAAGAGTTATTCAATATTAGGAAATACACAAAAAAAAAAGAAAAAAGGAAATACACATAATTCATTGTACTAATAGGCCAAATGAGAAAACCCACATGGTCATCTCAATAGATTCCCAAAAGATCAATTTAACAAAATTCAAGATGTATTTCTGATTTAGTTATCTAGGAATGGATACTTACTTGACATAATTTTTATACTCTGTATTTCTAACCAAAAACCAGTATCATGTTGAATAATGAAATGTGAGACTCTCCATTAAAGTCAGAGAAAAGGTGCAAGCCCCATTATCACCACTATTACTATTCTGAAGGCAATACATAACACAATTAGACAAGAGAATTAAATGATGCACAAATTTGGGAGAGCTATTATAGGAGCAAAATAATCTCTATTTGTTGTTGACATAGCTGTATAACTTGAAAGCCTGAGGAAATTTATGGAAAACCTATTAGAAACAATAATAGGATTTAGTGACGTACTAGTAATTGCTTTCCCACAACCAGTTCAAAAAGATAAGGGAAAAACATCCCCTTCACAATAGCAACTAAAATAGGAATAAACCTAACAAGGAACATATAAAACATATAAAAATAAAACTTTAAAATTCTACTAACATAAAAAACTTGAATAACTAGAAATCCATACCTTACTCTCCAATAGGAAGATTCAATACTATGAAAGACAATAATTTTCTCTAAATTAACCTATAAATTCAATATAACCTCGGTCAAAATGTCAATAGGCAATTTTATATTATTTTTACTTTCACAATGTGTGCTAAGGTTCACCTGGAGAATAAATATGTGAAAACAGGCAGAAATTTTCAGAAAAAGAAGACAAAAGAGGCTTTGCCCAACCAGATATGAAAATATATTTTGAAGTTACATTAATTACAACGAGATGGCACTGTTACAGGCATAGACATTCAGATCAATAGAATAAAAGAGAGTGCAGAAATAAACAAAAGCACATACGAAAACTCCATATTTGATAAAGGTGACATTTCAATTCAATAAGTCAATAATTACTAGTCAATAGATGGTACGGAGACAGCAAACTTAGCATTTGAAAGGAAAAGAAGCTAGATCCTGTCCTAAATCCTACCCCAAAATAAATTCCAGATAGATCAAAGATTTAACTGTAAAACTGAAACCATAAAAGTACTAGCAGACAACATGGATGAATCATTTTTAATATATAATTTTGGAGTGGGTAAAGTTATCACTGCAGTTAAAATGGCTTTTATCAAAAGGACAAAAAAAAAAATGGACGCTGGCAAGGATGCTGAGAAAGGAGAATGTTTGTACACTGTTAGTGGGAATGGAAAGTAGTACAGCCACTGTGGAAAACAGTATGGAGATTTCTCAAAAAAATAAAAATAGAACTGCCATATTATCCAGCAATCCCAGTGCTAGGTATACATCCAAAAGAAAGGAAATCAGTATATTGGAGAGATATCTGCACTCCCATATTTATTGTAGCACTATTCAATATAGTCAAAATATAGAATCAACCTAAGTGTCCATCAATGGATGAATTGATAAAGAAAATGTGGTATATATACATAATTGAATATTATTCAGCCATACAAAAACAGTGAAATCCTGACATTTATAACAACATGGATGACATTATGTTAAGTGAAATAAGCCAGGCATAGAAAACAAATATCACATGTTCTCACTCATATGTGGGAGTTAAGAAAACACTGATCTTGTGGAGGTAGAGAGTAGTAGGATGATTACCAGAGGCTAGCAAGGGTAGTGGAGAGGTGGGGATAAGGAGGGGTTCGTTAACGGGTACAAAAATACAGTTAGATAGTAGGAATAAGATCTTGTGTTTGGTGGCACTATAGGGTGAATATAGTTAACAATAATTTATTGTATATTTCAAAATAGCTAAAAGAGTAGATTTGGAATATTCCCAACACAAAGAAATGATTATTGTTTGAGGTGATGGTTATCCCAATTACCCTGACTGGATCATTACACATCATAAATAGGTATAAAAATATCACATGTAACCCATAGGCATGTACAATCCATAAAAATTAAATTGTGTACCCATAAAACTTAAAATTAAATTATTTAAAAAGAAAACAAAATCCAAAAACCATAAAGGGAATGATGGGTAAACCTAATCATATAAGTTTAAACAAAGTTTATCTTTGCATATACCACAAGCAAAGCCAAAAGACAACAAATGGGTGTGGGGAACATTTGTGCAAATACATATAATAAGAATATTTATTTCAATATTACATCACATAAAAACAAAAAATTAGAAAAAAATAACCACTAAAAGACATCCAATTAAATAAATTCTGGTAACTCCATACACTGCAATAATATGAATTTATTTTGTTTTGTTTTTAATAAGGTAGATGTATATGTATTGGTACAGAAAGATGTTAAGTGTTATGTGAAAAAGGCAATTATAGAACTTTCATTGGTGTAAACAAAAGCATACATTCATATTTATCTTTATGCAGAGAGATACATGCTTGTTTGTATATGCATGGAAAATGGGAAGATGTAGACAAAACTGTTAAAAGTTACTGTCTCTGCAGATTGGTATTAGGAGAGAAAAGCATTGGATAAGAACTTTGTTTTTAGTTTATACATTCAAACATTCCACAAATATTGACTGAACTTATACAGCAGCACTGTTTTAGATCCTCAGGATACAGATAAGGCTTCTGTTCTCATTTTTAAAGAGGACGCAGACAATAAACAATTACATAAATGAGCAACGCAATTTCAAATAGTGACAAGGGCTATGCAGGGAATAAAAAGGAGTTATATGACAGAAAGCAGTGGGGCAAAGAGTTGTGTGGGCTATTTCATACTGCGTGGTTTGGCAAAGGCCTCTCTGAAGAAGTGACAATTAAGTGAAGACAATGACAAGAAGGAGCCAGCCACTGGAAAAGCAAGGGGAAAAGCATTATAAAGAGAAGGGACCCTCTGTTTAAAGCTGGCGAAGAAAAAAATTTTTTTTTAAATAAAGAGAAGGAACACTCAGTGCAAAGGACCAAAGGTGAGAACAACCTTGGCGTGTTCCGGAAACAGAGGCCAATGTAGCTGGAGCTACATTCCTTTAAATTGAAAGGAAGTAAATGAAAGGAAGAGTCAAAGCAGCTGATTGATGTTCAGATCAGATTATGTCTGTATTGATTGCTTTTGTTTTTTTTATATGACAAGCTTGTGGTCATTTTTAAAAATAAAAATAACATATTAATGCTTTAAAAAAAAGATTAAGAGCATCTGACAGACCAGCTCCATCACTGGCTGTGTCACCTTAGTCAAGTTAATCTCACTAAACTTCAGTTTCTTCACTTGTAAAATGAGGAAAAGTATACTCACCTCAGAGGGCCGAAGTGCAAATTAAATTAAACCTATTTAAAAGGCTGTTTTTGTTAAGACTCTTTTGGATGCAAGGAACAGAAACCCAGTGAAGCTAGATCACGAATCGGAAATCCAAGAGCAGGAAGTGAAGTACAGCTAAAGCTTATTAAGCCTGGAGCTGCAGGAAATTTCTGGATGAGGCATGGACCCTCTGCTCTGGAGCTTTACCATTAATATAATTCATCTGCACTACATGTCTGCTTCTCTCTGTACATCTGCCCCAGCTTCCTCATTCAGCCAACCACTTTGAACTGTTCCCCCGGGATTTTAACAGGCACTTGACCTGATTCATAATGCCGCACCCACCCACCCAGCATCCTGGTCTACTGGACCTGTCAGCTCAGCTACCGACAACTAACTGACAACTCTCCTCTGGATCTCCTATTTCACATTCCCAAGAGAGGATTCTGATTGGCCCACCTCATCTTCTAAAGCTGGGCCATACAACTCACAGGCTGTGGGCTGGCCATGGATCAGGTGCTGTATCCTAAGGCAAGGGTGGATGTAATACATAGTTAGTCCTTGCTTGATCATTTGGTAGGAACTGTAAGTAGAGCCAATTCTCCCAGAAGGGGATGTAAAGATGGCCAGCAAGAAGTGGCATCTCTGATGCATGTGTGCAGCAGAGTGACTGGAATATGGTAGGTGTTCAACAAATAGTCATAATCATTCACGGTAACATTATGTCACCTCTTACAGGAAGCCTTCCCAGAACTCTCAAGCTTCCCAAACTTTTTCACCCAGATCAGAACCCCTACTGCAGGAATCATCCAATTAAAAAATCAATGAAATTTCATTATACAGGACAGAATTTTATGGCCTTCTAGGTATAAAGCACTGTACCGGGCACTGGGAGGAAGGATGCACAAATGAATGAGGCCCTTATCCTGGCCTCAAGGAGCTCTGAGGGTAGTAAAAGGTAAAAGGCAACCTGAGCCATGAGAAATCCACAGATAGGGAGCTCTGGGAGTTCAGAGAAGGGCAAAAACTGTTGTTTATCCATATGTATGCCTGTCTCCTGGATACCTTCCTTTAGATGTCCCAAAGGCACCTCGAACTAAACATATTTAAAACTGATCTCATCTGCTCCCTCCCAAACCTGTTCCTCTTCTCAGATTCCCTGTCTCAGCGAGGCAAGTTCATCCAACCCAGTTGCTCAAGCTTGAAACCTGAGCTGCACCCGCTCACAATGTCAGCTGTTGCCGTTGCTAAAGTTGTCCCCGAAACTTTGGTGTGTGTTTGCCTTGCCCCAAAGGTCAGAACTAATAATAAACTTGAGCATTGCTGCAGGATACGGAAATTAAAACCAGCCTGGAGACAGGCAAGACCCGGAGTCCACCAGGTTTGATTTCGGATTTGGCCTCTGATGTCAATGGGTATGATCCCTTTCAGGAAAGCGGGTCAACAAGAGCCTAAAGCATGTTTATGACATTTTCCCGGTAATTCTGCTCCTAAATCAATATCCACCCACCCCTACTTCCACAGGAAAAGCTCTAAGCACAAAATTATTCCTTGCAGAGCTATTTTTTGATGGTCAAACACTAGAAAGTAGTTTTAATATCCAACAAGAGTTAAGTGAATTGTGGCACAGCTGTCTGATGGAACATTCTACCACCATCGCTGAGAGATGATGGCTATGGAGATTCTACAGCAACAGAGAAAAATTATTATGCTATAACTAAGGATACAGGGTTATGTGTACACTCTGCAACAACCTAAAAACTTCATGGCCTGAAGCTCTGCTGATGGACATTTAAAATTTCTATTATTAATTTTTAAAAAGGCCTTAACTTTATGTCATATATGGGTATCTCTGGGTTTGGGGTTTTTTGGTTTGTTGTTTTCGCTTTTTCAGTCTTTTCCTTCCGTCAATCAACCGCCTTAAAAATGTGTCTTCTTTGTACCTGGCCCTTCACTAGGTGAATCACCCACAACTCTTTCTCTGGGATGTCAGGGCAGAAGAGGAAACAGATATAAAAATAAATAGTTTCAAAAATATATGGGCCAGTCTTTGTGGGTCCACTTGTGGACGTACGCAGGCACGGTCACCCCCTGGCGGCCACTCGACTACCCGCTCTTGGGTGGCTCTAACCTCTGGACAGCGGCTTCCACTCTCGGTGGCCAGCCCCAGCCTCTGTCTCCGAGAAAGTCCAAGACTCCTCCCTCCCCTCCTGGGGCCCTCCATCCCCTAGCAGGCCTCTCAGCCCAGGCCTGGACAAATCCGACACTTTTACTCGCACCGGAGCTCCTCCCTCCCCCAAAGTCTCACTTCCGCTGTGAGCGGCAAGATTACGTCATTGTCAGTGGTTCGCATGCGCCCTCACCACTGGCCAATTGGCGCACCCCTGCCGCAGGTGGGCTCCGGGGTTCGCCCTTTTCCTTTCCTAATGGTTTATTTAAAGTGGCGACACACTACTTGTAAGAGACGCTGGTAAACTCGTGGCTTTAGGAGGAAATGGGAGCCAAGAAAAGTTGCAAAGCTCAAGGCTCACGACCGCTTGGTCGCCATCGTCCCACTCACTTCCGAAATAGATAACGCCCCTTTCCGACTCCTTTGGCCTCCCCGCTCCAAGAGCGAGACTGGAAGCCCCGCCCCGTGTGCGTCTAGTCCCAAGATACCCAGCAGCGCTTGCGAGTGCAAGTACACTGGGGCGGGGCTGACGGGAGGCTGATGCAATCGAGTCGGGCGGGTGGGGCACGTCGGATGAAAGTGGGTACCGGAAGAGAAAGGGTTATTTCAGCAGGCTTAGCAACCCTACTCACAGTGAGACCTTAATATATAAGTAGAAGTTTGTGCCTGGTTTGGAGAGCTCTTTGACTTAATTTTTTCAAATGTAACGCCTGTAATCCCAGCACTTTGGGAGGCCAAGGTGGGTGGATCGCTTGAGTCCATGAGTTTGAGACCAGCATGGGCAACACAGTGAGATCCTCCCTATTTTATTTTTAAAAAATTAATTTAATTGTATATATCCCATCGGCTCAGCAATCCCATTTCCATATATATACATCCAAGACTCCTAGAGAAGTGTATCCGGATCACCTACAGGGCTTGTTAAAACACAGATTGTTGTGGCCTGTCTACTATCAGAGATTAAGAACTTGTGTTTCTAACAACTTCCAGGGTATGCTGGGGCAAACTGGTTCAAGATCACACTTTAAGTACCTTAGATCTAGGGGACAAAAAACTGCAAGGAGCCTTATGAACAAGTGTAAGCCGTGCTGATTTGTTGGCAATAATGAAAAACTGAAAGTATCAGTGGGGGCAGGAGATGGCTGATAATGATATGACTTATCAGTTTAAAATGGGCTATATATAGGCCAGGCGTGGTGGCTGACGCCTGTAATGCCAATACTTCGAGAGGCCGAGGTGGGTGGATCACCTGAGGTCAGAAGTTTGAGACCAGCCTGGCCAACATAGTGAAACCCCGTCTCTACTAAAAATACAAAAAATTAGCCAGGCGTGGTGGCACGTGCCTGTAATCCCAGACACTCGGGAGACTGAAGCAGGAGAATCACTTGAACCCGGGAGGCAGAGGTTGCAGTGAGCCGAGATCGTGCCACTGCACTCCAGCCTGGGCGACAGAGCCAGACTATCTCAATTAATTAATTAATTTAATGGGCTATATATAAACTGACATGGAAAAATATCGAAGGTGATGATGATAGTAGTGGGGGTGGTGATGAGGACATTTAACATTTATTGAGCACTTACACTGTATCAGGCACTGTGTGAAGGATTTTACATTTCTTATCTCATTTTCTACAGCAATTCTCAGGAGTGTGGACTGTGTCTAATTCGCTGTATATTTTTAGTCCAGAACAGGGTCTGGCACCCAGGATCTTGTCAGTAAATGTGTGTGGCCTCATGTGATCAGACCCAGTCCCACAAGTTCACAGTCCCAAGAGTTTAGGACTTCACAGCCCAAACAATATTTCAAAAAATTGCGAGGGATGGATAAAATATTGCAGAAGAAGGACACTAAAAACAAACTACTGCCTTCTATCACCATCATTTTAAGAAAAGACAATTACACATAATCCCCAAGTAAAGGACAAACTTTTAAATTTATCTTTAATATGAAAATTTTTAACATATGCAAAAGTAGAAAGAAGAGTAAATGAACCCCCAAATACCTCTCACCCAGCTTCTCAATTATCAATTCCTGGCCAAGCGTCTTACATCTCTAACCCCAACACACATCGTATCCCAGATTACTTTGAAGCAAATTCTAGACACCATTTTCTCCATAAATATTTGAGTTCATGTGTTTAAAATATAAGAACTCTTTTATAATAATAACCATAATACCACAGAATATCTAAAAATTTAATAATAATTTCCTAATATTATAAAATATCCAAGTATTTACATTTCCCTGATTTATACATATCTTTTGCAGTTTTGCACAAATTAGCAAGTAAATAAGATAAAGCAAAGGCCTTTAAATCAAATATACACTACAGTGTCCTTTTTATCTTCATTTTACTGCAGATTGGCAAAAACTATATCAGGCCCTTGCAGAAGATGACAGACCAGTATTGGGAACTACTGGCATAACATTCATTCAAAAGTAGATAGATATATATGTGTGTGTGTGCATGCACACGTGTGTATATGTGTGTATATACATACAAACTGCAAAATACATATGTGTGTATACACACACACAGCCTGACACTTCTAGCAGTACATAAGGGTAAATAAGACAGATGCAGTCCCTGTACTCCTGGAGCCAACATTCTACTGAGAGAAAGAGACAATAACAAAGTCAAGAAATAAATTCAGAATTTAATTTCTGGGTCATAATATGTACAATGAAAAAAATAAGGAAAGAAGGCAATAGAAAATGATGGAGGCAGTAGTACATTGGCAAAATGGTGAAGTAGGCAGCTCCACGCTCTTGTTCCCCTACCGAAACTGATAATCAAGCAGAAACTGACAGAACCAACTTTCTCAAAACTCTGAAAAACGATGAAAGGTTTATAGCAACCGAGCAAATGCTGAATAAAGAAAAAGGCAATAACAGATGCCGGTGAGGTTGCAGAGAAAAGGGAACACTTATACACTTACAGTGGGAATGTAAATTAGTTCAGCCACTGTGGAAAGCAGTTTGATTTCTCCAAGAACTTAAAACAGAGCTACCATTTGACTGAGAAATCCCGGTACTGGAAATCCCATATACCCAAAGGAAAATAAACCATTCTACTAAAAAGACACATGCATGTGTATGTTCATCACAGTGCTATTCACAATAGCAAAGATACAAAATCAACCTAGATGCCCATCAACAGTGGATTAGATAAAGGAAATGTGATACATATACACTGTGGAATACTATGCAGCCATAAAAAAGAATGAAATCATGTCTTTTGCAACAATATGAATGCAGCTTGAGGTCATAATCCTAAGCAAATTAACACAGGAACAGGGAACCAAATACCACATCTCACTTATAAGTGGGAGCTAAACATTGAGTGCACATGGACATAAAGATGGGAACAATAGACACTGGGGACTATTAGAGGTGGGAGCAGGAGGGGGCCAGGGTTGAAAAACTACCTATTGTATGGTATGCTCACTACCTGGGTGATGGGATCATTTGTACACCAAACCTCAGTGACATGCAACTTACCCATGTAACAAATTTGCATATGTACTCTCTGAACCTAAAATAAAAGTTGAAAAAAAGAAAGATAAAGGCAATTTCAAAATGGTAAGAAAGTTTTATGGCATTTTTTACTTGCTCTTGCCGCACCCCCTCTCCAGTGCAGTCACAGTCTTGAATAGGAAAGTCTACATTCTCATATGGGAAACTTGTCCCTGATTCTGGAGGAAACAGAGCAGACCTTATTTGCAAATTGTTGTGTACGTATGTTCTAACCTGCCTTGGGGCTAAAAGACTGACATAAGGTATTCATCTGTGTTTCACTTCACTCAGAACTGAGGCTAGAAAATGGCAAGCTCAAAATCAATGCAAGAAAAAATGAGCAACATGCAGATACTCAGGGGAAAAGATTATGATCGAAACAAAATAGACCACCTAAGGACTGAGAGCAAGAGCTGGGGAGAGTTTATTTGGGAAATTAGGACATTCAAAACAAGCCACGTATATAGGGGGATTTAGAAAGCCATGTGCAGGCTCCACACAAGACACATCCTCAGAAAAACAACATGTGAAAACTCTAACATTTCACCACGGGCTGAGTCCTATGCTTAGTGCAAGCCTAGTTGGGTGTTGAAAACAAATGTCTTAGAACAAAATGATTCTGCAAATATGAGTGGGGGAGGTAATTTTTTGTTTGTTTGATTGATTTTTTTGAATTTTTTTTTTTTTTTTTTTTTTTTTAGTTCCTGACATTCAAGGAAATCCTATCAAAACACTAGCTGAGTACAAACTGAAAAACAGAAATATCAATGATTACACACACAAAAAAAGTCTTCCTAAAAGTACTTTGGGAAAGTCACTAAACAAATGGACTACTATAGCCTTCACATAAATAAACAGCGAACTCAGAGGAAAAAGGAGAATTTAATGTACCCCATTAACATTTTGTGATATTCAAACATATAGCTTTCAACAAAAAAATCACAAAACATACAAAGAAATAGGAAATTATGGCCCATTTACAGAAACAAACTAAATTGACAGAAACTATTCCTGAAGAAGTCCGGGCATCAAATTTAATAGACAAACACTTTAAAACAATTGACTTAAATATGCTCACAGAACTAAAGGAAAACATGAACAAATAACTAAAGGAAATTAGGAATATGATGTATGAGCAAAATTAGAATGTCAATTTATAAGACAGAAAGCATAAAAAAGAACCAAACAGAAATTTTGGAGCTGAAAAGTACAATGATTGAAATGAAAAATTGACTAGAGGTATTGAACAGCAGATCTAAGAAGGCACAATAAAGAATCAGTGAACTTAAGGATAGGATAATCGAAATTATCAAGTCTGAGGAGTAGAAAAGAAAAAGAATTGGCCAGGCACAGTGGCTGATGCCTGTAATCCCAGCACTTTGGGAGGCCGAGTAGGGTGGATCACCTGAGGTCAGGAGTTCAAGACCAGCCTGGCCAACATGGCAAAACCCTCTCTCTACTAAAACTACAAAAATTAACTGGGCATGGTGGTGGGCACCTATAATCCCAGCTACTCAGGAGGTTGAGGCAGGAGAATCACTTGAACCCCCAGGAGGCAGAGGTTGTAGTGAGCCGAGATCATGCCACTGCACTGCAGCCTGCGTGACAGAGCGAGACTCCATCTCAAAAAAAAGAGCTGGGCACAGTGGTTCACACCTGTAATCCCAGCACTTTGGGAGGCTAAGGCAGGCAGATCACAAGGTCAGGAGATCGAGGCCATCCTGGGTAACATGGTGAAACCCCATCTCTACTAAAAATGCAAAAAAAAAATACCCAGGCTTAGTGGCATGCGCCTGTACTCCCAGCTACTCGGGAGGCTGAGGCAGGAGACTTGCTTGAACCCAGGAGGCGGAGGTTGCAATGAGCCGAGATCGCACCACTGCACTCCAGCCTGGCAACAGAGCAAGACTCCGTCTCAAAATAACAAAAACAAACAAATACAAAATTAGCCGGGCATGGTGGTACATGCCTGTAATCCCAGCTACTTGGGAGGCCCAGGTAACAAGAGCAAAACTCTGTCTCAAAAAAAAAAGGAAAAAGAATTAATAAAAGTGAACAGAGCTTAAGGGACCCATAGGACACCATAAGCTAACCCACATACATATTATTTGAGTCTAAGAAAGAGAGAACAAAATAATATTTGAAGAAATAATGGCCAAGGATTTCCCAAATGTGAAGGAAAATAAGGATCTACAAATCCAAGAAGCTGTATGAACT